GTAATGAAGAAATTTGAAATATCATTGAAACTAAAATCAATCTAGTATGTAGAAGAGCGAGGATATCAGTTTGACATTATAATAAAAGAGAGAGGAAAAACGAACGAAGGTTATACTTTTATTTTCATTTCATCAAGCTATTTATCAGCTTATTTTTTAGTAATAAGTCTTTTAATTTTATTTGTTAATATGAAGAATTTAAAATTATTTACATTTAGTTAATTTAAAATGATTTTGTCTATGATAATCAACTCTATCAGGTATTACTGAAAGAATATATGTCAAGTTTTCTTCTCTAATTTACTTGATTTTTGGTCTTAGATCGTCCATCCACATAGTAGAGAATAAAAAATATCTATCTTAAAGAAAACGATTAAGACTTCTACTCATACGAAAGGTTTCTTCTTTCAGTCTACCCGTATTCTTGTTGAATGAATAAATTTAACTAGAAACTAATTTTTAGATAGCTGATTCTTCTACTATTGTCTCATTGAGATATCTATAGTTATAAGAGATAGTCATTGTATCATCCACTCATTTCTTGAAGATTTTCGGCTAATTAACCGATACAGATATAACGTCTGAATTATTCAATATATTCTGAGATAATTGTTTCATATCAACGAAATTTAACGGGATATATCTCTTACGTATTCTTCGGTTATTTTTTTGTCCTTATCTCTCTATCGTTCAATTACAAATCTCTTAGTTTTTGATCATGTGCTATTTCTTCGCAGTGCTTGAAAGATACTCTTCTGTGTGCTGTGCTGATCTTTAGAGCTATCATGATAGCCTAACTATTTGTAAATTAAAAAAAGAATTTTTTCCATAATAATGGTCTATACATCGCGCTCAATTAACATCTATTTATGGTGTTAATTATCTCATCAATTCATGACTCTATTTAATATAGTGAGCATTCTACATGGTAGAACAAGTCAAATTAACACAGTAGAATATCTATAGTCAAATTCTATTACAGAAACACTGGATTAGTAACAATAGTATTACCGTAACATAAACCTAACGTAACATAAACCTAAAGTCACTTTTATCAAACAAAAAATTTTTAAGGATCGATAAATGTTTGAACAGGTCATCGTTATTTTTGACAAAAAAAAAATGTTTCAATATTTTGTGTTGATATTATCTTCTATTGAATAATGAATGTGAAAAAGTTAAAAATTCACTTTGTATACGCGTTTGAATGAGTTATATTTGTTAATTTTTAACAGTTTTAAACGTCTTACGATATTAGAAGACATTATACGATGTTGTTGTTTTTTATAAATAAATTTTTCACAATATTCATTTACATATTAATTAGAGTAATTAATAATAATTTATTTTTCTAATCTATGTGAACATGTTTGAAAATAAAATTGTTAATACGCATTAATACCACTCTTTTAGATATCAGTAGGTTTGATACGTTAGAAAAACTAATATATGTCAATTTTCTATTTATAAAAACAAACAAAAAAAATAAATAATTTAGGTATAAATAAAAATATGTTACTTTTATTGTAACGAATAAGATAACATTCAAATTTTTAAGTAATTAATCCGTTTAAACGATTTCTCATCACTCTTTTACATTTTCAAATTCTAAAATTTTTTAGTTCATGATCGTTTTACTACAATGTGTGTGTGTGTGTGTGTGTGTAATGTTTTTATTTACATATCTTGCATCTGGAAAGATATCAGTTCAAACACGTGATATAGAATGTCTATGTTTCTACTTTTTCTTCTTTAAATTTTGGAAATATGTTCTATGAATACGATAGAAACGTCGCATATCTAACAGGAGGTGCCGAACTCGAAGTAACCATTCATATACATACAAAGTGAATATAAATATATATATACATCAGAAAAAAAAGACGGTTTTCTATATTTTTTTTTTTTTTTTTAAAAAAAATCTCCATCCGTTGTGAATGCGCGTCAGTTTGAATTGATTTTTTTTTTGTTTCTTCTTTGTTTTTAGCCTAGTTTATATGTGTGTGTGTGTGTCTGTGTATATATATATAATATCTACACACACATGAGAACGTACAAAATCCTAGCGTGGATATACTACACACCACATATATAAAGGAAAAAAAGACGTTCCTTTTTCCGTTCTTGTTGTCTCTTTTATTTTTTTGTTCTTTCCCATTCATTTTTTTGGTCTTTTTATTTTTTCTGTCCTAACGGGTAAATTGAACGATACATACACACACATTGAAAAAATATATCCCCATCGGATCTGATATACACATTTTTTTAAATAAAAAGAAGAATGCGTTCAGTAAAGGGAAGAAGAAGAAGAAGAAGAAAAAAAAACCATCGTACAAAAAAAATAACATGAGAAAGAGTAATGAGCATTTTTTTTTTTTTTTTTTGTTATAGTTAAACCAGGTTTTCGATGAATCTGTAGTACATACATACATCGAACGGGTGAGAAAGAAAAAAAATATATATCTAGTCTAGTCGTCATATATCCTCTATAATGTATTAGACGATATTTAAATTGAAGGGAAAAAAAAACCTTGCTTTTCCTGGACATTATAAGATAAGTTCAGTAACATACAAGAAAAAAAACGTAGAAAAAAAGATGAAATATGAACGCGCTCTGTTTCTTCTCGAGATATATATTTATAAAAAAAAAAAGATGAATAGATAAAAAAAAAACAGGAATATACATTTCTCAGACTGTGTATGTGTGTGTGTGCAAATTGAACATTTTTTACGGATTTTTATTTTTTGTTTCTTGCCTATTCATACATCTTTTTTATTTTTATGCACTCATTATATATATGTATTGGACAAGATCAACACTATCGTTATTGTACATGAGTTGGTAAGATCGAAATAAAACATAAGGTCAGTTTAATTTCTTTTCAATAGAAAAAAACAAAAATGTGTCAAGTATATATCACCCATGTTCTTACTATGGCTAAAATAGTTTATAATTTTAAATTTTTAAATTCAAATCTGTTTTATTAGTTTTCGAATTTTTTCTGTTTCCGTATAATAGAGTCCAATTAAAAATAGTTTATTATATTCAAAATGACTTTAAAGTCTAAATATCGTTTTAATAACTGTAGGAGAAATTCTAGTATTTCCAGGATGTCTTATACTAATCGAAAAATAGGATTCGCATTTCTGATAATCTACTTTATATTCAGTGTCCACTGGCAGAATAGAAAACTAACAAAAAAAAAAAATAAGAGAGAAAAATTGGTTATTCTTTTTTATTTTGTTCTCCTTTTCTCTTTGGGTTTGTCGATGTATAAATTTTGAATAAATATTCTTGAATATGAGAATACTAAATGATTTTTACTCTTGATATTCTTCTGTGTCATACATATATACGTACAGCTGCTGTGCTGTTCATATGTGGCAATAATAAAAAATTATTCACTACTGTGTTTTTCTGGGCAAAAAAAGACGAGGAAATATTTTATTCTTCCATGCGACATGCATCATTTAGATACAACGAGGATAAATTTTTTTTAATAAATACATTATCGGGATTCAATACACGAACACAAATGTTACCAAACAGGTTTTTTTTTACTTGAGTATATGCGTGTGTGTGTGTGTGTGTGTGTGTGCTATTGAAAAAGAAGAAACAACTCACTACTTCTAAAGTGGGTTCTACACGATCATAATCACAGAGAATTATAGAAAGTATCAAACAAACAGACAATATATCTAATGTTTCCTACGTAAAGTCTTCATTTTTTTTTTATAGCACAACCATAATAGATTGCACAGGAGAAGAAAGAGACAAATGAACTTCTATTGCGTATGTATAGATCGAAGATCTTTTAACAGTGAACACATTCTTTTGAGGTTTAATCGAATATATCACGCCATAAAGAAAAAAAAAACAAATTTTATTCATCTTCTTCCTTCTCTTTCTGATGAACATACATTTATAGTATCTCTTTATTCTTAAGTCCAATCTTCTCTTGCTGTCTTCTTTTTTTTTGTTTTTTTTGTAATGATCATTGTCAACGTATATACGCGATTTCATCATCCATTTTTTTACTAAATAAGACTCTTCTTTAAGTTTTTTTTTTTTTTTGTTCTTTATTATTCGTCATATCATTGAATATACACAAGTAAATAACACATCACAAAGAAACAAAAACGAATGAATGTGTATATATAATGAGTGAGTAGGATTTTAGCAGGATATTATTTAGCAAGCAGACGATGTGTATTTACGTGGTATACATACAATGAAAATAAATTTAACTCGTCTTCATCACTGATATCGATTGTTTCTCTTTCTCTCTGTTCGTAGGTAGAGATATGTATAGGTATCAGTTTAAGATATATATATTATTTTATTTTATTTTTTTTTTGTTGTTTATTCGTATTGTGTAAACCAATAAAGAAGGGATATATATATACATGTAGTCTATATGTATGAGTGTCCAAACTCCGACATAGATACAGATATATGTATATATATGTATAGAAAGAGAGAGAGAAAGAGAGAGAAAGATGCAATGTATTGTACTATTTACTCTTTACTACATTGTGTATGAAACCTCATTTGTATCATTTCTTCGCTTTTTTCGAATCAAGCAAAGTTTCCTTTTTAATATTGTTAGTTATCATAAAAATGACTTATTTTCGATTAATTTTGTTATATTAATACATACCGAAAATAAAAATACTAAATTAGTATTAATTTTAAAATAATTATGGAAGTAAAAAATTTTAATATACTTTGAAAATATGTTCTCATATTTCGCGCTCATATAATGATATTTGATCGAATAATTTTATATTCTAGATTAATAACTTGTATTTTAATTAGTATAATAACAAAATAAAAATTCTTTGTTATTTAAATTAAAAAACAACAAACAAGTATGTTAATATTTATAAACATTTTATATTTAAAAAAAGAAAAGAAAATATAATCATATTATTGTTTTTCTGTAGATTCTTCATTCTTATAAACAAAAACAAAAAAAAAATGATTATTTAAATAATAAATGGCTACAAAAACGGGTTGTAGTTCAACATTAGCTGATTTTCATCAAATGATTAAATTATTTTCTAATCCAGATCAAGAAGAAGAAATAAATTCAACAGAAAATGATTTATCAAATGGTAATTCAATATCAACAACACATCATAATGTTGATCAACAAAAAAGTTTTATTTCAACAAATGATCTTCTCTTAGATAATGAAGATGATGATGATGATGATGATAATGAACAAAATGATATTGATATGGATGAAACAAATGGAGAAGATGTTGATAATATAAAAATTTCACCACCACCTCGAACATCATCACCATCATCAGATTCTACAATGTCATCGGCATCATCTATTTCTAATTCATCTACATCATTTGTTAATGGTTTAAAATTAGAAATACAAACTCGTCAACCAATACAACAACCAAAAATGTCTGCAGCTGCTGCAGCCGCACGTTTATCTCGTTTAGCTAATCAACGTATTGATTCAAATAAATTTTTAATATGTAGTGGTACAAATTCTTATAATACAATTCGTAAAACAAAACATGAAGTAAGACGATTTGCTTTATATCTTGAAGATACATTTAATGAACATATAGCCATTGATGATTTAAAACCTGATCAATTATGTTCATATTTAAAACATTATTTTCAAAATGTACGAAAAGCTGATGGTAGTGAATATGAACCGGATACATTAAGAAGTTTTATGTTATCAATTGAACGATATTTAAAATCACGTAAATATTCATTTAATATTTTGGAAAGTCCAATATTTCAATCATGTCGTGAAGTTATACAAGAAAAACGTGATACATGGGCAAAACCAACAAAATCTGTATGTAATAGTAAAGTAGAAGCATTTACATCACAACATGAAACATTATTAAGACAAATGAATATAATAACAAGAGATACACCAGAAGGACTATTATTAGAATTACTTATTAATAATTCTAAATATTTTGATCAAAGAGGTTTTGAATCAACAATAAATCGTTCATTATTATGGGGTGATTTAGAATTAAAAACAGATCAAATTAATGGTGGTATTGATTATATTGAATATAAACGTACAATTAAAAGTGATGATAAATCATCATCAATTATTGAAAATATTCGTGCTTATGCTAATTTAGATAATCCACAATTATGTCCTGTTGTTGCATTACGTTTATTATCTTATCATCGTCCACAACAATGTACAAATGTTGATGCACCATTTTATTTAGTACCACGTTTAAATTCTGAACAACGTGTTTGGTATAAAACAATTCGTGCTGGTAGACATAGATTAGATTTATTATTACAACAATCAATGCAAAAAGCTGGTATACAAGGAAAATTTAGTTGTATGAGTTTAAGAAAAGGTAAAATAAAAGGTTTACTACTTACGGATAATAACAATATACCAACTACAACACATTCATCGACGACGGCAATGGTTACAACACAAAAATCAAGACGAACATCGTCAGCAAAACAAGAAGTTGTGCAAGTAAGCATTTAAAGAAAGTCAATTATTTTCAACAAATCTTTTAAAATGTAATCTATTTTTTTTAATGAAAAAATTATATAATTTTCTTAGGTACCTCCTACACCTTCTACAACTATGTCAACAACATCTACTACTACAATGATTACTTCACCTCATTCGACAATTGCTATTAATATAGAGCCGACGGCTTTATTAATTGGAGCTGTGGCTAATGCCATATCATCGTCAACATTTCATAATGTTACACAATGTTTTACAACGGCGATACAAGCACAAGGACAAAATAACAACAATAATAATAATAATAATAATAATAATAAACGAACTTTATCATCAACATCAACGAATAAAAATGAACAACTACTCGATTTATCAACAACTAAGAATAATAAAAATAATAATAACGATGATCATTATTATTTAACGCAAAATGAAATGATTAATTTAGCTAAAAAAATTAAACGTGAAAATGATACGAGGGTAAGTTCATCAAATTAATTAATCAATAAGTATTTTCAAAATTTCAATATTTTATTCTATAGTTAAATTTATTTTTTTTATTTTAGATTAGTCAAAATGGTGACAATGGACATACTACACCGACAATGTCCTCTTCAGAAACATCATCACTCACCACTAATAGTCTATCTTCTCATTTAAGCTCGATGTTACCATTACAACAACAAAATGATAATACTCAACAACAACAACAAATGAAATGTTCGGTGACATTGAATGATTTAGCTCTAATTGCCCATACTCTTGAACAACAACAACAACAACAACAACAACAACAACAACATCAATCACAACCAAAGCGTAAAATAACCTCGTCAGATGCATTTCACGCATTATATTCAGCTGCTCATATGAAAAGTACAAAACAATCAAAAATAAATATATTACGTCGATATTTAGAAGATACATTGGGTTTAGTAGAATTTTTAACATTATATGAATATTTAAGAAAAGATTCACAATTAAAATTACAGGGTACACCTATTGAACATTATGAACATGTTTTACCAATATTTTTAACATTATTAATGCTTGAAAATACCGCTTAAAATGAAGAATGAATTTCTAAGTCACATAAAAAAAAATTTTGAAATTGAGTTATTTCCAATCTAAGTCATTCCATACACAGGAGAGTTATATTTAATCATACCTCATTATCTAGTCGTTGAATTTCAAGTATCTTTCATTTTCTATTCTCTCTTTCTTTTTAGCTATTACTTTTTAATTATACTCGACTATTTTTAATCCCCCCAAAAAAAAACACACAAAATTTTTTTCTAAGTTCTACAGTACATTAAACATAAATATACAACAGATCTCTTCTCATCAGTGTAATCTCAGTCGTTTTTACTTGCCTCATATTGCTTGATCTGATTAAATCATTCCGTTTTTTTTTTCACTATTCTTATTCCATTTATTTGTCTGTTTGTTTTTAAATATATGTGGTCGTTCTTTTTTTTTTTTACATATCGATGTTTTTTAAGTCTCATTTCATTTTTTTTTTTTTTTGCAGAAAATTTTATATATCAAACATTTCTCTTTCATATTCACAGTAGAGAGAGAGAGCGTAAAGAGAAAACTATTTGAGACGCTAAATGATGGATATGTTGCCTTTTTTTGTTTCTTACAGTTTTTCACAGACACTTTTTTTTTATCCATGTTGTAACCGTTTTTCTCACATTTTTGTACATTATTATGAGAATGGATTATCATATATATGTTGCTATGAACGACGACGTATTGTATAAATCAATTCGATTTTAATTACAGCATTCTCATTCATTATTTTATGTTTGCAATGAAGAAATTGTATAAAAGAGCTTATACTAATGGTGATCGGATAATTTTAAACGTTTTAGGTACTGATGACATATTGTGTTTTTTGATTGCTATAGATCAATAGTATTTAATAATTCAATAATATACAGTAATTTACCATTGACAAATCTGATGACTGTATTTTATCCATTCATTTCATCGATTTCAAATTGGTATTGAACTGTCTAAACATCTCTTTTTATTAAAAATTCTAGTGAAATGTTCTTAGTCTGTAAATCGTAAAGGATAAACTACTGCAAATTATTCTTTTTATGATATAGTCATTCTTACGTTTAAATATTTCATAACATATAAATAAAGGGGAAATTTAGTTTTTGTCTTAATTTTTCATTACGAACTTCGGTGAAATAGTCTGTTACGATTTCCGGACATAAGGAAAAAAGACAGGGAGTTCGGAATGGAGTTCATATTGATAAAATATTAAATATTAAAAAAATTTACCATAAAAACAGCGGCTTTTGGGTGTAAAACTGTTACTCCTTCTTCTTCGAAGATAGTGAGGGAGTTCCACAAAACAGGGTATCCGGAATGAAATTTGTCCAGGAGTTCATGACGAACTCTGACAACCGCTTTTTAAAGGTTGAACAGCGATATTTTGATTTGAGATCGGAATAAGAATGTTCAGAAGTTCGTAATGACAAAGACAAGGAGGTCGTAATGAAAACTACAGAGTGTTCGGAATTATGTTCAGTTTGCTCACCTTTGAGAGAATGTGAAGTGACACGCTAGTCTTGCAGCCTAAGATGGTGATTTTACGAACCTCCTGACAATGTCATTCCATTCTTCCAATCTTTTTCTGAAAAAGTACTCTTAGACTTACATTCCGAACACCTGACCTTGTTCATTACGATCTCTGGGCGCTACATTAGATATAGCAAGAAGTATTCTATTCCAAACATCCAGTCAAATCATCCTGATTTTCCTGCTTTTCCATTACGATCTCCCGTACAAAAATAAGAGTATATATTTTTTTACCAAAAAATTACACTTTTGATCACCAAACCAATTAAAAAACACTTAAATTAAAGAAAATATATACAAGAAGAATATATACCAAATTAATTAGTGAACAGACAGTAAAACAAGAACGGAAAGTATTACACACAGCTAGATCGTCTGATGAAGCGAAAGAATACGCAAAATTACAGTTTAATATTTGCCAATATTGTCGATCAGATTAAAACAATCATACAAAATACTCATTCAAATGTCGTAAGTATAGAAAGTATCCGATTTCTCATAGTATTCCTAGATCGCACGAAGTTAAAAAAGGTTTATAAAGTCGCTTCGCAGCGAAGTGAAAAACATAATGTACGAATCCATAATATAGATATATAAATTGTTCTTCTTGTTGTGAAAATTTCTTGGAACTGTGTGTGGGGAGGAGACTTTTGGTGCCGCCTATGCATACTATGAGAAAACGGATACTTTCTATACTTATGACATTTGAATGAGTATTTTGTATGATTGTTTTAATCTGATCGACAATATTGGCAAATATTAAACTGTAATTTTGCGTATTCTTTCGCTTCATCAGACGATCTAGCTGTGTGTAATACTTTCCGTTCTTGTTTTATTGTCTGTTCACTAATTAATTTGGTATATATTCTTCTTGTATATATTTTCTTTAATTTAAGTGTTTTTTAATTGGTTTGGTGATTAAAACACACTTTTCTCAAAAATAATGACACAATAGATAAGATAATATCAACGTTAAAGTGAGTAAAGATATAATTTTGTTGATTATCTATCAGTCAAGACCTTTCATTCTGTCTATACTAAACGACATTTCTGACTTTAGTTATGTTCTCAAGACGATTTCAGTTCATGCTTAACTTTTCTCTAATTTCTAACATGAAGAGCTTTATATTTAATTTGTATAGTATAGACAAGATTATTAGCTGCAGCCTAATATAATCATTAACACAAAACTAAAACAATATTTCAATAATTTTTACGAAATTTAATATTTTGACTTACTTTTTTCACTGCGAATGTGAATGAATTCACTATGCAAATGTTAATATTATATTCTTTGTACTTGTTTCTCATTATTTTGCATCCATTAATTAATAGCTCAATGTTTATCGAGCACCGTATTTATCATTGATTGAACCAAAAAATGTTTAACAAAAAGAACTGCTTATTATTAAGAGCATATACTCAAGAAAGTACTTGTAGAAGTACATGAGATAAAAACAATGTGTTTCAAACAAGATTAATTCTGAAATTTTGAAAATGATAAATCAGTATTAATCTAAAATTATCACTGACTGACTCATTTCGATATTAAACATTTAACTAAAAGAAAACAAGGATCTAAAACATGCATGTTGACGGATGTAGCTCAAAGCGCTTTTAAAGTTTTAATAAAATCATTAGCATTCGTTTTAAGAAAAAACTTTATATTATTTAACCGTTTCGATTTTAAATAAAATGTATCATCAATATTGACAATATCCATATATGCTCAACAGAAAAAACTTTGATAACTCATTTTCTTCTACACAGGTCGGTTAAGAGAGTATGCTCTTTCTTGTTAGATAACTCTCTCAGATACATTCACCAGTTGAACACAATAACATATAGCCGCTATTTTTAGTCTGCTATACACGCTAACTGATATTTCTATTCTAAAAACTTGAATATTCAATACAATTCGATCTTAGTCTGCCTCTTGTTAGATGTAGACGATATCTCTGTAAGTTATATCAGTAATCAACTTTAACCGAATGTTTAAAAGTAGGAAGGCAGTCCAGATTTTACGTTCTTAGTTCAGATTATTACGTTTTAATGATTGAATTTTCCAACAAACATTTGTTAGAGCATCGCTTTCCATTGTTTAGAAAATCGTTTGGACTTTTCGAAAAATGAAAACTTTTTATAACAGAACAGAGCACAGATCGTCGAACATGAGAGCAGTATTTCGATAATTAAAGTTTTTCATTCACTATCATTTGTACAAAAAGAGCATTGCATCTTTTTTATTCTAATCACTATTTATGTCAAAAGTATATTTGGAGCTCTCAAGCAGCTCATAAGAGATCTTTCGACAAGCTAGTTTACTACTTTCAGCAATTTATGCTTCATCTAGAAGAAGTTTTGTTTGAAAATATTTTTTTATTTCTTTTATTGTACTTATTGTATATTAATCATAACTGAAGACGCAAATTACAGCTATAACAATGATACTTATCAGAGACCGAAAAGGGTCAACCAAACGTGACCCGAACCCGACTCGACCCAAATCAATATCTTCTACGTTGGCTCGAACCCGATCGACCCGAACTGACCCAAAAATTTTGCAACTGTGATTCGAACTAGACTCGAAACATGAAAATATTGTCGTACGCATTCGCAAAGAAACACTTCTTTCCTATAGAAAAGTTATCTTAGTCAGATTCTTTTGAAATTTTGTCAAAAAAATGGTCAGATTCCTTATGGTTTCCGCCATTTTTTTCCTTTGCCAAATGGAAAGATTTGGATAATTCAGGTAGTTTATTTTATGTTGACCTGAGTTAGGTAGAAACGGGTCAACCAAAAGTGCCCGAACCCGACTAGATCCGATCCGAATCAATATCTTTTACACTGGCCCAAACCCCGACCTGATCCATTTCGGTTTCTGATACTTATAGATGCAATTTGTATCTCTGATCTTGACAGGTACTTTTACGTTAGAAAGAGTCGTTTTATAATGTATTGCGTACATTAACGGCTGATCATTACTATTATTATTGAATTTGATTCTAATAGGTTTGTCTTTTATTCCTTTTAACTCTATTTTGAGATCTATCTCAGAATGATGCGAAGTATGGCCATTTATTGAATATATCGAGAACAAATGGTGACAGAGACTCATGAGTTTCGCTGTTCGAAAGACAAGAATTTGTACAGCTTCTCATTAAAAAAATGATTTTTAGATCTTTGATACAAGTAGATCTTTGTGACGATCTCTAGTTACTCGTTTAGTGTTCCAGAAGTCAAAGTACGAAAATATATTGTCTTTTTTCCATGAACAGATAGTCGATAGTGTCTTCTTTGAAATGACAGTCAGTCAAAACCATGGTTTTCGATGATTCTGTCTTAGCATTTTTCTGAGAGTCTCAGAACTGGTATGTTGAAATAGTCCATTTCAGATCATTTTTAAGTTACGTAACGCTAAAAAGTTCATCACTCCATCAACATCGATCACAACGACTATGAAACTTAAAAATGGGCTATTTCACATACCAGTCCTCTCAGAAAACTACCACGTCAGAACCATTGAAAACCACGGTTTTGTCATTTCAAAGAAGACACTATCGACTATCTATTTATGGAAAAAAGACAACATATTCACACTTTGGCTTCTGGAACACTAAACAAGTATCTAGAAATCGTCAAAAAGACCTACCTGTATCAAAGATTTTAAAACTCATTTTTCGTATGCGAAGATGTGTAAAGTCTTGTCTTTCGAACAGCGAAACTCGTGAGTCTCTGTCACCATTTGTTCTCGAGATATTCAAAAAATGACCATACTGCGCACCATTCTGAAATAAATAGTAATCTCAAAATAAAGTTGAGAGGAATAGTTTCGGAGGATCGAGATATTCAAAATAAGCAGAGTCGATTACGTTACATGGTACAAATGTATCGCCGTCGTGAGTTTATTTTTGGTAGAGGCCTTTACCTTGGGTTAATGTTGCTTAAGTCTACACATCAATAGTGCTACTTTTAACTTTGATCTTCTGCTCCTCCATTCTAATCATCTTCTCATAAGTTTTCTTAAATACATGCGTACCAGCTGCATATCGAAGAGGTTTTTCTCGTCAAATATCAAAATCATTTAGACAAGGAAAGGAAGAGAAGACTATTCTGCCAACTTCGCGAATTAAAATTAGATTCATTGCAGAATTCATCAAATGTTTAGCGTTAAGAAGCATAAAGAACTGCTCCATTTTTTCTATCAGTTTTTTCAATCAACAAGGAGCTAGAGTATTCGTCTTTTACAATTGTTTGTTTTTGAAATCTGTTTAGACAAAGTCACTTCTGTCAACAAGCAGTTTATAGTCAAAGAGAATAACTTAACATATTAACGTCCAAATTAAATGTTCATGAACGAACAAATGTTTTTAGTTTAGTAATAATATTACATTAATTATTTATTTTGATTATTAGTTCTTTTGTAGTAGATAGTTTTACAAAAACACTAAAAGAAGATAATAGGCTAGAAAAATAGATTAACAAATTTTATTTATAAACATTAAATTTTTTTTCTAAAAAATTTAAAATAACAAAAGAAAACAAAAACACACTGTTGAGATTCTGATTACAGTTAGAGCTTGATTAACAAAGTCTGTTTTGGGATTTGTCTGACCGTAAAACAAGCGTATGTGTATGTTAAAAATAGTGTTTTCATTTTATCAAATAAAAAAAAAAAAAGAGGAAAAGAGAAAAAAAAAGAAAGATCAATAAACGAGAAATAAGTAGTTTTAAAAAGTCAGCTACTTTTGAAAAACAAAAATTGTAGACAAAACAAAAAAAGCATACATAATATATATATCACTGTTTCTGAACAACAGAAATTTAATCTCTTGACGATTTTTTTATATATCAAAAAAAAGGAATGTCAACGGGGTGTTGTCGATATGTCCATAAAAATTTGATAATAAAAATAATCTTATTCTCAAATAATGAGATGATATACAACTAGAAAAGATTGCACAAATAAGTATTAAAAAAAAGATGAATAATTTGATCGAAAAAACATTGATTAGATTCATTTTGTTCGGTTATGCTTCACTTGTTAATAAAAAATTCTCACGTGGTTGATTATTATCCTAAAACAAAGAATATTCACATATAATCTAATTTCAATTGCTTGGTCTCTAGAGTTCATGATAAGCATGAATAGGAAATCAAGAGATTTTAATGTAACCAATTTGTAGAAGTTATCGAGATGTTTCTGTTCTTAGGATTACCGAACAAGTTTTCGTTGAATTATAAAAGGTTTACTCTTGAAAAAACCTGAAAAAGTTAGATAATTTGATGCATTTGAGATTAATATTTTTATAACTCAATTAAAACTTGTTCGGTAATCATAACGATAGACACATCCCGTCATGACTTCAAGGGCTCCCCCTCAAAAAAAACTTTTTTGTCTTATATTTTTAAATTTTTAGTTTTAGGTTATCACAGGGTATCCACGGATGCCACAAGTCTTTTGTTCTTTTTTGTGATATCCTACTCTTGAGTAAAAGTAAAATCTTATCTTATCTTATCTTATCTACATCCGATTTTGATCAAACTTTCAGCAAATGTTGCACACTCAACGTCTGATCATATTTCTTTTTACTCGCTATTTGTTACCGCTCCGGAGTTTTGTTGTCCAAGGCTGACAACACGCTATTTGTTGTTAGAGTCCAAGGCTGAAAACCACCCTTCACTGTAAGTGCCTTTTCCTTAATACAGCTCAAGATAGAGACCTCGGATTGGTTTTATTTTAAACCAGACACCTAGCTGGGAGGACTGATGGGACCAGATGGTTTAATTAGGCCTTTTTTGGTTCTCTAGAGACACAAGATCCTAGAAAACCCTAAAAGATCTTTTCAAGTTTTCCAAAGTTCCTTTTTTTCTACGGAACTAACGCCTAATTAAAAAATCTCCTCCTATCAGTTCTCGCAGAATTTTATGCTCTTTCGATTAAAAGAGAAAATTTCTCTCTATGATGAGCCATTATTAAGAAAAGGGATCTACGGTAGACGAGGTTAGACAAAAACACGTGTTTTGAGAGAAAATGCTGTGTATTCGTTGGTCTGTTTTAGAACATATAGGAAAATGCTTGTAATTTTTGAACGCAAGATCATACAGAGTTGTGCAACTTCTTCGTTGATCAAAAAAGTCTGCTCTACAAATCTACGTGTTCAGAAAAAATTTACTTGCTTAAGTGTCCAGAAGAAAATTATTATTTGATGACCCTAGTTTTCAAGGCTTCTAGAAGACTTGCTCGAACACCACGTGAAATCAGTTCTAGACCCGAAAGCGATGCAGATTCTGAAAGTAAACACGCCAGACTATCTTTCTGATTTTCTGATACAAAAAGATTTCATTCTGAGGTGTTTTTAGTTAGTTTCATTTTGAGAACTAGTTTTTAATTAGAAAAAGCTTTAGATCACCTGACAAGGTTCTCTTGTCAGACGTTTAGTCATAATGTAAATAATAGAATTTATACTTTTTTTAATGCTTTTTTGACGACGTTCATGAATTTTTTTGCTTTTGATTGTTTTTTCATATCAATTTCTTCATCATCGTCTTCATCATCTAAACCGGTACCACAAACATTATCAACTGGAGCATCATCATCCGGATTTACATTCTCAATCAATTGCATATATCGATATTGTAAGCTAAAAATTCGAATAAAATTAAACAAAAGAAACTAACGAAATATATCCAACTTTAATTTCATACATAAAATTATCAAATAATGATACATACGTTTTATTTTTTTTCCAACAATACACTAATAATATACATAATATAATTGCAGTAATAAAACTAATAAGAATAACAATTTCTATTTCAATTGTTAATAATGAACATTTTTGAATTTCAGAATGTTCCCTCAGTCTTCGTATACAATAACTAAAATTATATAATAATATCGAATAAACATCATTTTTTGAAAGAAAATAAATATAAACATTAGCAATAAAACAAACCTGTTTGGTATTTTTCTAATTTGTTGTTTTCCCATATGACATTCACCTCTAAATATTTCATATCCAGTTGATTCTTCACATATGGGACATGCATCTATTGTACGTAAAAGAAAACGAAATGTACAACCATCACATGTACCAGAAACACAATTTAACGATGAATCTATTGGATATTGAACTTTATATCTTGTTGCATTTTCTATTTGATCATCACATCGTAATGATAAAAATGTAATTCGTTCATTGCATGCTGATCTTAATCTAAATAGAAATTTAGGAATATATTAAGAAAACATTGACATAGACATAAAGTAACACAATTACGTACGATGAAGCACGAAAAACAAGTGTTACATCTGATATATTATAATCTGTTTTCAAATGTGGAAAACTTTTTAAATCACTCCATAGACTAACATTAACGAGTTCTTCACCAAAACTAAACAAATAGTTAGATAATAAACGTAATTTATTCTACTACATTTTTATATCATAAACGTACTCATCAACACTACGAGCCATTGTTACATTATCTTCTGGTGCAATTAATGTACGACATAATCGTGATTCAACAGCTAAACGATTTCTTTTTACTTCCTAAAAATAAATATCAAACATAACAATGAAAAATAAAATAGAAAAGAAAGATATAAGAGTATATTTTCTCATGGATCATAAACTGATGTGTAGTTTCTATTTATAGTGACTTGATAACTATACTTACAAGAGTATCGTTTACTACACATCTAATGATACCAGAACCACAAATACTAGCATTAAAAATATGAGAATAAGGAAAGCCTTCTTGCGAGAATACTTTTGAACTTTGAAATTCAACACTAAAAGCAAAAACAATATTGTCATTTGTTTTTTTTGTTTTAAATTTTAGGCTGTTAGTGGATAAATTTAAACTAAGCTCACCTCGATATTCGAGTTAAATCATAATTAAATTGTGTTTCAAACGTTTGTTTACAATCAATTATGCATGTAACACCGTCATATGAAACGGTATTACGTGGACATTTAGCGCAATATTGCTGTTGATTATCATTTTTTTTATCCGATGTTCTATTTTGACTGACGATTGTGTTATTCTCACAACGTAAACATGTACCATTTGAAATAATGAAGCCAGGTTGACATACTCTACATCTTAAAAAAGAAAATGAATATTAAAAATAAATATTTTAATGTCATATCATAGATTATGTATAGTACCCTGGATGTTTATCATCAATTATTTGACATGTAACACAACTGTCAGCTCCTCCATCAATTGTATTTCGTACATGTATTTCATATATTCGAATTTCAATACTACTTGTATCGATACTAATTTCAGAATATGGAGATTTTCGACCAAATATCCATGTGAATAATACTGGTATTGACTCATGGACGGTATACCTTTAAAAAATAAATTATTTAAATACAAACAAAAATTAAATATTTTTTTCATTTACCGATATTCTATTATGTTATTATGGTCACTAGTATCCTTTTTAGATGACCATTTTTTAATTATATCAAGTCGTTGCCTATTCGCATCCTTGAATACAACAATAATAACAAAAAATTGCAAACAACTTTCGATTAAACGATGTTTAAATACATACCGAAGTTGCTAAAAACAATTCACATGGCAGCAAACATTTCATTGAAAATTTAAAATATAATGTACCATAATCATTGCTCATAGATGTGTCTTTAAAACCGTTTTCAATTGGTAGTTCAAGTACACTGTAGATATTATTATTTACTATTGAAGTTAGATAATCCATTTCTAAAGTCCAACTTTGATTTCCAAAACACGTAGTACCTAAATCAAAACAAGTAAATATCAATAAATATTAAGATTCACATATTATATATATATACCTTCAGTTCCTTCTAACTCGAAACATAATCGATCCAAATAGGGTGGCATAACATGCCATTGATTATAATAAAGACCAGTTGTCAATGATAAATTCGAATTACATGCTTGGCATTCTAAAACAAAAGTTATGATTACGATTAGATGAAACTGTTCGTCTTCTCATTATACGTTTCATTGTTCCATCAGAATATGTGTTATTCGGACAAAATGAGCAAGTACCATTTGGAAGTCTATACATTCCTCTGAAAATATAAATTAAATCATAATAATTATTTTAGATGTTATGTAAAATAGCTTACGGATTACACGCTATACATGGTACTTTAGTACTAGGTAAATTAACTACATCACGGCCACAGATCTTAGGCTCTATAGGCACATAAGATTTTGTGATCTAAAAGATGGATGAATATTAAAATATTCACAATAAACATAGAGATATGAACTGACCATATTAGATGCGTCACATTCCGAATAAACATATTGATAATCAGACTGTTTACATTCTCGTTTGGTAGTACATTGAGATGAACCTTCCACTGCAGACAAATAAAAGAAATTTGTATTTAAAAAGAGTGAATAATAAATAATTTAAATAAGAAATTGTAATCTCTATTGTTGTTTTTATTATTGATAAGGAGATTTATTCTTAAAAACTTACCAGAAAATTGATTTTCATTACATGGAGTACATTCTGTTGAACCTCTTGTGGAATAGGTATTTCTTAAACATACTGAGCAATTTGAAACACCAATTTTATTTGAATAAGTTCCTGCTGGACATGGCTGACATTCTGGAAGAGAAGAAACACCTACAAAAAAGAAATATATAGATCTTTTTATGGCAATAATTTATCAATTTATTGTCGTATTTTATACCCTGGACTTCAATTGATTTTATTGATACTGGAAAATGATTATCCATAATATCTAAGACATAAAATGAAAATTGATATTGACCCTCTTTTTCTAATTGTATCTAGAATAACAATATAAAAAAATACAATATTAATTTTTTTTTTCTTCTAGATCTATAATGCATAACTAATTATCATACCCTTTTCGATTTCCATACACCTTGTCCTGTTGATTTAAAAACATATTTCGGCATACTTTTTTTTTGTTTTTTATCACCGCACTGTGAGTCAATCTAAAATGTTTGACAATGATGATAATTTTCTTGTCTAATTATTTCACATAGTTCAACTTACTTTTAAAAAAGCCAAACTCTCGCCAACATTATTGTAAAGAAACTCAATATAACCTCGATGTATTAATGTTATTTTTAGCATTAATTGGACAACACAATTACGACGAAGATCTGATCGAATAACATTGCCAGTTATTGTCCATTTTCTAGAAAAAAATTATTATATAGACAAAGTGTTTCCGTTTGAATTGTAAAAATACATACGCTGATTCACAATCATTATTTTCTTCATCATCATCATCATCAGCAGTAAAAGGTGTTTCAGATATTGTACTATCTTTAAACGAATAAGAATTTATAGTAAAAGCTGATGGTAAAGTTAAATTTTGATCAAATGTATAACGAACACCACCACCGATTGAAAAGGTTCCACTGGGACATTCTGTACAATTTTTTTTGTTAATATCCATATATGTACCCGATAAACAGTTCGTATCTAGAAATAATGAATAGTTTTTGTTGTGTGGTAATGATCAATAGAATAACAATATACATACCGCATAGTATAGATTTTGGTTGTGGCAATTCTTTGTTTAGACATGACTCTTTTTCTCGCGGTACAACAATAATCCATCTTAGTTTATTGTCAGCGTCACAGTCGGTATATGTCGTACGAGTATCATTCTAGAACAAAAAATGAAAACACATTATTTTCTAGAAATATAATCAGTCAATGGTAAATTTACAATAGAATGATGTACTCACGCATTGTTCGCCAGATTCAGATACATTGATCAATAATTGTGTATAAATAAGAATGTTATAGATGATGACAAGAATTTGATTCAAATGAAATGATGGCATCTGAAACAAATGATAATTGTATACAATCCCTAATATCATATAGAAATAGAATATACAATTGAAAATAGATTTTTTTCTTTTTATGCTGTAAAAGACATTAATGATGTTAAGAGTTATTTATTGCACTGTTATTTAACAAGTTTACGTATAAACAACAACATATAACAAATTGAATGCATAAAAACTAAAATTTGGTTCAAAAAAGTTTTTAAAACTTACATAATCATTAAAAATAAAACTTACGTTATTTTTCAAAAAAAACAAAAGATATGAACAAGCATAAAAATTGCTAAATAGCTATTGCAAATGATTACATGGAGATCAGACATAATAAACTCGTTTCAAAACAAAAAAATTTTTTATCACCGGCTTGCATCACATCTAGTAAAACATAAGGCTTAGCAAATTCTCTTTCATAGTGCAGCAGCTATCATAATACGTGCAAAAGAATTGGTAGATACGTATTAGTCCAGTTAAAATGATCACTAATTACCTGATTAGTGTGTTTTTTTAGAAACAAAACCAAAATAAAAATATATCATTTTCTTTGGTATATCATTCAAACAAAAATACGTCTGTGTAAATGATGAATAAATTAAAAAAATTTCAATCTTAGGTATTATCCTTTTAGTTAACAGAAGTAATAAGCTCTATTAAAGAAACAATAGTTTCACACTAGCACCCACATGGAATTATGGTAGAAATTTTCACAACTGAAATTACTCATTTTAGTGAAAATAACGGTACGTTATCCGCCAATTAGTATCATTGGTCTATTTTTACTTTTATCTAATACATCAATTGGTAAATGTTCTTTTTCTTTCTTATATAAAGTTTGTTGAATAATCTCATAAATTTGTTCATCTGAGTAGCCCATTCGCATTGGATCTCGCAGTGATACTTCCTTATTATCAAATAAACACACTTTTAATTGACCATCGGCTGTTAATCTTACACGATTACATGTCGAACAAAAATGTTCACTCATTGAACTAATAAAACCAAAACGTCCTTGATAATTTTTTATTCTATACCATTTTGTTGTATCATGTTTATCATCTGATACGATTTGTTCAACATCTGTTGATGAATAATGTTGTTTTATTAATTTTAACATTTCTTGATAGGGAAAATATTTTTTATCCGACCATTTATTGTCATCAAATGGCATATATTCAATGAATCGAATGGCTAATGTTGATTGATTACGAGTTAACTCAATAAAATCACATAACTCATCACAATTAAACTTGTTCATTACAACACAATTGATTTTAATCAAGGGAAAATAATTACTGTCAAGTGCTTCGCGAATGTTTACAATGACTCGTGTGAACGCTAAACGTCGGGTTAGAAACTCAAATTTTTCTTTAACTAATGTATCCAGACTAATGTTCAGTGAGTTGAGACCGGCCTGATGTAGTTGTTTTAAATAACGATTTAATAAAACACCATTTGTTGTTATACCAATTGTCTTTATTTCATCACAACTTTTAATTAAACGAACAATATCAACTAAATCTTTTCGCAATGTTGGTTCTAAATGACACAAGAGATGGCAAAATCAATGACGAGAATGGATGTTTCATAGTACATGGATTTTTTTGTTGCTCTTAGAAAACAAAATTAGTTAAAACCTACCTCCTCCTGTAAGTCTCACTTTGTTTATTTTTCCATAGGACGTAAATATTTTAACTAGACGATAAATTTCATCGGTTTTTAATATATTATTATTTGGTGATAAATCAACACCTTGCTCAGGCATACAGTAAGCACAACGTAAATTACATCGTTCAGTGAGAGATATTCGTAAATAATTATGAATACGATGGAAACTATCAACGAGACGTTTACTGATAGATAATGACATTAAAAACAAAATAAACAAATTTAATCTGAAACAAAAACAGAAACATGTTACTATTTCCAAGTATATCAATTTTAAAAATATAGTGAAATCAAGTCTATGAGAATCGTTGCTGAAGTGCTCGTGTTTAGTGTGGCAATAGTATTTAAGAAAAAAACAAATTACAAGATATTTATTCTAGGCATTCATATGCATATAATCTATAAAGTGTCAATGTTTTCATACTTTATATTTCAAATATATACTAAAGAAATATAATCCATATAATCGTCATTTACACATAAATTATTATTATATTATATTACTACGATATTCTTTTTGCTTTTTCTCTAAAAAGTTATTGGACTTTTCGTATCCAATCAGTTAGGGAAATGATCCTCCAATACTACTGCCTCTTATAGTTTAATCCAAGTGAAATATTATATACCCGAAGATAATTATCTTAAAAATGAACCAACAACGCATTGTTAACTATTATATAATCAAGTGTAATTACCAAGTATGTTTTTGATATATTGATCATGAAATCCCTAGTCGAGACTGCCGGCCAAAGTCCCGGAAAAAAGTCCCGCGAGAGTCCCACGGGACTCGTCACGGGGTCTCGTCGGGAGTCCCGTGGGACTTTTTGATAAACTCCCGCGAGAGTCCCAGTAAAATCCCGAAAAATCTAAACAAAATTGAAAAATGTTCCGCGAGAGTCCCGGCAGGATCCCGTGACGGGAGTCCCTATAAAATCTTCGCAACGAAAAATCGTAGAAGCTCGGAAACGTCTTAAATTAAATTTTCAACTCTTTTCTGCATTTTGAGATCTCTTGGGACTCTAGAAAATCTATCCTCAAAAAGTTATGATTAAAACGCTGCTAGCCACAGGGTGATGAATTTACGGAAGGTCCCAAGAGCATATTTTTCTTGCTTGCCCATTAATTGTCCCGATTTTGGTGGTATGAAACCTTCCGTAAATGGAATGCTATTTCATGAGGAAAGCTCTTCGAGAGCTCGGAGACGTCTCATTTTGTCCAGAAATCTTTGCTCTATTTGAATAAACTAATGATAAAAAGTTCAATTATATTTGTACACAAGAAAGTCAATAAATGCCTACACAGGCGATAAGTTTTTTTGGATCACCCTGTATATTTCGATTTATTTTTTGGAAAAGTGGATCTCGCCGTTTTAATCATAACTTTTTGAGGTTACATTTTCTAGAGTCCGAAGAGATCTCAAAATGCAGAAAAGAGTTGAATATTTAATTT